TCGTCATCATCATCATCACAGCACAGCAGTATGTCGTCAGTCAACAAGGAACAAGCAAGCTCATAACGGATGCATACACATATCTTCCTCCTTCACACCAACACAACAGGTGAGATCCACTATATGGCCAAATACATGCGGCTCGTTTGCGAGCCTTTGACTCTCTCTGCCGTGAAAGCGATGGCGATCCAGTGTTCTTTCTTGCGGTAAGAGTGCTCTCCAGACCCGACCTGGCGAGCACAGGACTGGGTCTTCACGTAGCAGCCGATGGATCTCAGGTACCTTGCGTTCATCTGCTCTTGCCACTCGCGGAGATCCCGATCATACTTGAGCACACGATTCTTGACGCGCATCCTTTGAATGCAGCACACGCCAGGAATGATGATGCAAGGAAAGATGAGCATGGAAGTAGTGAACTGATAGCAGGACGTCGGCTGCTTCTTCCGTACCTCCTCCAGCTCTTTGAGTACAGTATCCAAGTCGTTTCGATTCATTGCGGTCTGAAAGATCTCTTCGGGTATGGGTACGACAATGCCGCTGCCTTCCTTGGAAGCCCAGCTACTAGGTACCCAGGGGAGGTTTGCTTGGACGAGCTTGCCGTCCTTGTAGATGAGCTTGGGAGGAGGCTGCTTGACTTGACTGGGATCCATCTCGACAGGTAGAAGGAGGGACAAGGGAACAGTCTCTCCTCCTCTTCTCTCTCCTCCTCTCCCTCTTCCCGCTCCTCCCCCTCCTCTCCTCCGATTATAAAGATTTATAAAACTCCTTGTAACAACTGTCGCTGGTCAAAAGTTCTTGTTCTCCTTGGTGTCTTGATCGAAACATCACAAAGATGATCATCTACATGTTACCTGCTCGAGAACTTGTCTGATACACCTTACAGTCCTGTCAGTCTTTACGGCTGCTCTAGGACATAATCGTCAGTCCTGTCAGTCCTTACGGCTGCTCTAGGATATAATCGTCAGTCCTGTCAGTCTTTACGGCTGCTCTAGGACATAATCGTCAGTCCTGTCAGTCCTTACGGCTGCTCTACGCCCCGGATATAATCGTCGTCGTCTCTAGAAAGTTCCATTCTTCCACATTCAGAGTGACGGCTCGACGAGTGCTGGAGAGACAGAGAGAGAGAGCACCAAGCCTTCTTCTACAGGCTGCCACGGCCAGGAGTGAAAGTTGCATG